ACTCACTCACTCAAACACACGCACGCACAAAACCATTTTTCTCCATTCCAATTTGGATCCTATAAATCAATTGCTCTGTGAAACATCTGTGAAAAAAATTCAGGTGCTCAGGCATGAAAATGTGCTGCTCAAATACTATACTTTTCCGCACTCACTGAAAAAAAATTAGAGGGAACATTGGTCATGAGTCCAGGAGAACCCCCCCCCCCCCAGATTACGCCCAGGGTCTGTTTGGGGTAGTTCCACCCCATCCAAGACCAGTGGTGGCAATTCTCCCTGAGCCAACGAACCCCAAACCCAGAGCCACTCAGTCTTGCCAGGGTTTAGTTTCAACCTGTTATTCCCCATCCAGCTCCTAACAACCTCCAGGCACTGTGAGAGGGAGGAACACGGCATAGTTTAACTCACCACATGACCGTTTTCACCGGTTATCCCCATTGCAGCATCCCCACGTGATCATGTGATCAACATTCAGATGCTTGGCAACTGGTTCATCTTTATGACTATTGCTGTGTCCCAAGGTCATGTCATCCCCTTTTGCAACCTTTTGACAAGCAAAATCAATGGGGAAGCCAGATTGACTTAACCATGTTACTAAGTTAACAATGGCAGTGATTCACTTAACAACAGTGGCAGGAAAGGTCCTAAAATGGAGCAATTTACTTTGGCCACTTAGGCCCGGACATGACTAAAATTTCTCAAGACACATGATGCGATATGGATAGATAAGAAATTGTATTGGAAAACCTGAGTGAAGCAACATTGCACATTTGATTTGTCCTTTTTCTGTGAAAAGACACATTTTCCCTTCTTATAGGTATGCCCCTGGCTTCTTCTTCAACCATTTTCTGTGTTCCTCTGCATTTCCCCCCATGCTTCATGGTCTTAAAGCTAAGCTGTTATTGGCTGTTTAGACCATGACAGCAACCATAGCATCTCCAGATACATTGTCCATGCTGTCAGAGATTAGTGGGAATTGTAATCCAATAGATTTGAAGATGACAAACTACAAAAATATGGTCTTATCAGAATGTATCATCTTAAAGCACCCTGCCACTTGAAGTAAAAGGACTGGTGATTTCTCTTTGACTGCATTGGTTTTGGAACACTTTAAGAACATTTTCATGGACCTGACTTTGATATATATGTATCATTCTGGTGCCTAATGAAGCCTTTTTCATTGATGCAGGATTTCCAAAATACGCTATATAGCAGTGATGGTGAACCTTTTTCTTATGGCATGCCAAAATTGTGTGCGCACACGGATGCACACATGACCCCTCCCAAGGCTCTAGAGGCTTTCCTGGAGCCTAGGGAGGGTGAAAACGCCCCCCCCCGCCCCCCTGGAGATCCTCTGGAAATGGATCATTTCCAAACTTCCAGTTGCTCCATTGGGGCCATTTTTCACCCTCCCCAGCCTCCGGAGGCTTTCTTGAGGCCTGGATTGGGTGAAAAGGGTCTCCCTTGGCCCTCTGGAAGGGCAAAAAATCAGCTGGCGGGTGCACGCATGTGCGCCAAAGCTGGTGGCTGGCCACCAAATATGGCTCCACGTGCAACCTGTGGTATGTGTGTCATAGGTTCGCCAGCGTGGGTATATAGCAATAGCACTCAGACTTATATACCGCTTTACAGCCCTCTCTAAGCGGTTTACAGAATCAGCATATTGCCCCCAACAATTTGGTGTCCTCATTTTACCCACCTCAGAAGGATGGAAGGCTGAGTCAACCTTGAGCTGGTGAGATTCGAACTGCCAAATTACAGGCAGCCGTCAGTCAGCAGAAGGAGCCTGCTGTACTGCACTCTAACCATTGCACCACCGAGGCTTGTATATTCCATCACATGCTGTGAGTTTAATTAATTCTTTAGGTTAAGCCCCTATCTGAGATCAACATCTGGTGCCTTCATGGACACACAGTGCCCATATAGTTTTCTTAGCTAATGGAAATCAGGATTGCTCTTGCTTTCTTCTAGCATGTTTTGTCACTTTCTACAATAGCCTTCAGCACTGCAGTTTTGTACTGGCTTCCAGTCCCAACTAGCATTAAACTCCCCAACTGTGCTCAACTTTTTCAGAAGAAGCTACGATTGGCTAAGTCCTACTGCCACATAGCTGAGTGATATTTACTGTTGTGCTTCTGTTACACTAAATTTCTGGTTTTTCTATCTGTTGATCTTTATCTTTTTATACTATCCTAAGGGTGGGGAGTATATTTAATCTTTTGTGAATAAATACGTGCAATACAACATTCCTATCTGGCTTGTCAGGAAAAAAATACTTTCATTTGAAAAGGCTGAATTTCCTGATCTCCTTAGACATCCTTCATTAACACTAAAGAGACTTAAGTTGTACTGTTGCCCTCCTTTGCCAGGGGCAAATCAAAGGATAGATTTTCAAATATGAGATCCACCATGATTCATTGGTATCTGGGCTACTGCTACTTTTCAATCAATCATCTCACCTAAGGGTGACTCTTATGTATTCAACTACATAAAAATAGAATGAAGAATGATTTCCCCTTTCCCTTGTATTTATTTATTATTTGTTTATTAAATGTATATGCTGCCCATCTCACTATCAAGCAACTCTAGCATATGACATTTCTGATAACCTGGAAAGAGAATAATAATCAGAATAGAGCTGAATGGGATCTTGGAGGCCTTCTAGTCCAACCCCCTGCTCAAGCAGCAGACCCTGGTCTATACCATTTCAGACTGACTGTCCAGCCTCTTCTGAAAAACTTCCAGTGATGAAGCACCCACGACTTCTGAAGGCAAGCTATTCCACTGGTTCATTGTCCTCACTGTCAGGAAGTTTCTCCTTAATTCCAGGTTGCTTCTATCCTTGTTTAGTTTCCACCCATTATTTCTTCTCCTGCCCTGCCTGGTGCTTTACTAGGGAGTTGACTTTCCTAGTAAAGATTTATATTTTTAAAGCAATGCCACCTTAGACTGTGCAGTGATAATTTGATTTTTAATATATGCTTAGATATCGCATGATTTGCTATGTGAATTTTGATGGTGCAAATTGCATAGACCTAGTTCAGTCAAGCAGGATCACTTTGCAGTAATAGTTGCAATGTGACAATAGTAGAGCAGTTATTTTGGTATTGTGTGACACGTAGGGCCTTACCCACAAGTACGAAACATCACCTGAAGTAGCACATATTGCAGCTGACCTTGACTGATCCTGAAAAGCTGAACAGGACCAGATCTGGTTATTTATTTGGAGAGAAGACCAGCAGAAAATCCTCAAATGAGGAAACTGTGAAGGTTTTTTTAAGCCTTAGAAAAAGACAATTGATTCCCAGTAGCTGGTAAAAGATGCATTAGGATTGGTGCTATGTGACCTTGTTTACCAACTTGGCCACAGCATTTTCCAGTTGAGGCTTTGAAACTGTTTCAAAGATGAGACATGGAGAGTGCCTCAAAATGACTGTTCTTTGCAATTATTAGGGCAGGCTCATTGAAGAGACTGGGATGCTGTGGCATCCCTGATGTCAGGGGACCAAGCACATAAACTCACCTTTGCAGATTTTTAGTAGTGACCTGAGCAACTACAGGACTTTGAATCCCCAACCCTCAAAATTGCCCCAACTAAACCCCATTAATAGTGAGGGAGTTAGCAAGATTACAGGAGAGCATCCAAAAACTCATCTCTCAGGGTAATCCAGACAGTGGATCTACTCAATGTCCAGATTTGAAAATGGAAACATATAGAATTAATAATGTAAAGAACGAGGGACTCATCAATTAATGTTTTAAATGTAGGTATTACTGTATGTCCTTAAATGCATAGACTGGACAGCTGTCGGGTTCTTACGATGGGTGTAAGTCACTTGCCTGAAAGAGCAAGGTAGTGTATATATGTACCTACATATGTATTACATTTTATTTCTATAGTTCCTTTCTCAACAAGTGACCCTGGGCAGCATACATTCTACTCTGCTTCCTTGCAAAGTGGATCACCCTTGAGTCCTCTTTGTAGAAATGCGGAGTTCAGGTGGCAGCCCCATGTCAAAAGTGGGCTGTTCTTAGAAAAGCTAAGCGTGATTGGACCTGGTTAGCATTTGGCTAAGAGAGCGCTACGAGATTCAGAAGATTGAGCTAGACTGGAAATGAAAAGAAAAGTCTCAGAAGGTGGCTGAATTGAACACTTTACATGTTGCCAGGAATTCAATTTGACTTAAGGGGAGTTTTTACGTAAAGAGACAGCCACTTTGGTTACAGTAAGCACTTGGTTAGAAACAACCAACACATTTCCTCTTATATTGCTATTTATAGGGGGGAGGGAGAGTCCTAAATTTTCCACTTTGCTAGTTTGAGTCAGTTGGGCGTGGTGTCAGGCACCAGACTAGAAACTGGGAGACCATGAATTCCAGCTCCTCCCTTAGGCCTAAAGCCTATTGGGTGACCTTGGGCCAGTCGTTCTCTTTCAGCCCTGGGTAGGAGGCAAGGGCAAGGCTGAAAAACCCTGCCAAGAAAATCTCAGGGACTTTTCCAGGCGCTCACCAGCCAACACTGACTCAGGGGGATTCTCCCCAACCTTTTACCTAAAGAAAGATGATGGTCCAAGGCTGATAAAACAGTTAAAAGCGAGTACACTGCTGCTTTAGCTCTCCTGATCTTCCTGTCCCCTACAAATGTTAACACAGTGAAGGATTGGGGAAGAAACCACTTGCCTTCCTTAACAATCTATTAATGTTTTACAGGCAGCTTTTAACTTTTTAAAAATTTGTTAGATGCCTTTGGCTTTTGAAGTAGTTTTGAAAGGGGGCTTTGTATGGGATTCAAATACCTCTGTGCTCTTGGCTCAGTTTGGATTACTTGTTGAATAAAGGGTACCTATGGAAATAACCAGGTTACCTGTGATTGCTTCAGGATACAGAAGTTACCTTGTCAAATAAAAGGTACCTATAGAAACAAGCAACTTAACTACGATTGCTGTAGCACCACCTAGTGGCAACCTACGAAAACTGAGTACAGTTGCCTAAATATTTGTTAACTTGGCACAAAATAAGGAAGCAACATACATTAACATTGCTTCCTGGATTTGTACCCCACTGGAGGGGGTAAATTTAAAATTTTCCAAAAATTGCACCTCACGTGGGGAGCAAGCCCCCCAAGGATGCCAATGTGTTGTGTAGGTGTTAGCAGTACTGTCCTCACTAGACGTTCATTGAACAGTAGCGCAACCCCAAGACAAGGATGGTTGAGAGAGACCAAGCAGGCGGCGGTCTGGGGAACTAAATGGGAAACCCATCGAGATCATAGTGAGGCGCGACCCGCGTTTGCTTGCTTAGACTGTTTTGCGGCGGGCGGCATCTTGAGTAATGCCGTTTCTGAAGTATTTGCAAAGCAATCAGCTTTCCGGCTCCTCTCCGTGAGTTTTGAGGTTACCCAAAATGCCTTGCAGCAGTCACTTTGCATAATGGGCTGTGCTACGACTAAGCGTAGCGGGGAGGCGGTCTTAAGCTTCGAAGCAATACCTTCTTCCGCTTATGAATATCTTGATATGGCGCGCCTGCCTAGCGTTGGGGGAAATTCGTCCTCTTTAGGATTGCTTAGCCTACATTTCTGTACGTGTCTTCGTTGAGTTTAGAGCTTGGTTGATCTTTTTTTTTCTTTTTAGTTGAAGCCCTTAATGTTACAGACCAGCTTTCTCCAAAAGGGCGCAAACTCATTGCATTAGACTGTAGCTTCCACAAAGGAGGAGGATGGGAGATGTAGTCCAGGGCCCTTCAAAGGCACATGCACGAGAAAGGCTGCCCTATTTGGGTAAGCTTCCTGTAACAGAAGCGCTCTGCATGTAAATTCCTTCTGTGTTTGGAGTTTAGTCTGCAATTGGAGGCTTATTTATCCCTGAATTCTGCAGCAAGTACATTCTGGGAACTACATAAATTTGATACTTAATGGAGTTCTAAAATATATATCAGGTTTGCTTCCTTTCATGCTTCAGGCAAACACTTCTCCAGTCTGGTTCTTTGCAGATATGTTGTGGCTGCAAATCCAATAATGCGTAGCTTTGTAGTTAGAACATGTGCGGGGATAAATCCTGTTTTAAAAATATAGCCTTGTGGAATTTAGAGGCAGCTTTTTTGCATTTAACTTAGTATTTTTAAAAAGAAATTTTGGAAAAAAGTTTACATCTTACACTTCATGTGTAGCATAAGTTATTTCCCCTTATTTAAATGTATTACATGTAAGCCAATACATTCATAGTAATTGCATTAAAGGTGTCAAGAGTTGGAATAAGTTAAAAGCAAATACTGTATTATTGGTCTCTCTCCTCCACCTTACATGTTTGAAGTATGAATTTGAAATATGTGTGCAAAATCTATAATTTTATGGATTCAAAATATATTTGGATTTAGAACAGCGTATATTCAAAATACATAATCCATTTATTAAACTTATGCCGCCCAATTCTCAATGACTCTAATCCTTTGGTTAGTCATAAATATACCGCCCACATAAGGATTTTAATCCCCCCCCTCCCCCTATGGCTTTATAACTTCTTCAAAGATTTAGTATTAATAAAAAGTGTTAACTGGACATTTTAAATAACATCTCATTGAATATGAGCACATTGTTTTATTGCTGTTGTGCTGCCACATGATATAGTATACAACATTTTCAAAACACAATAATTACGCTTGGTAAACATGTCAACAACTTCAACTTATACAATATTTGGCCCAGGATTTTTTTTTTGTAACTCAGTGTTTATTTGCTTATTAATAACTTCTAGATTACAAAGTGGTACATCTTCAGTATAGTTTGATTTGCCATTTTATGTATTATTTCAAATAATGTTTCTTTCTCCTCGCTTATCTTAAACCAGTATTGATAACTTTTATGGAAGTAATCTTTAGACCCGGAGCTGTTCTGCTTGTTTGCATTTTCTTGAGCCGTTGCATAGATGTTGGCTAGGTTTCCTGAATCACAGCTAAAGAAACCACAAACAAAATACAACACTACATAACCTGACATCATTCCTCCACTCTTCTTCTGTCAGGTCTTACAGTATGTTAATTAATCCATAATAAGTGACCAAGCTTAAAACTTTAATAGCACTCTGTAATCCAGATCTTCAACCTGCCATTTAAGTATATAGGAAGCAAGGACAGAATAAGCAATAGAACATTTATTGTCCTGAGCAAAGTTAGATTACTGAATAGAAGGATTTACTCCAATAAAGGTGCATAGCATCAGAAGGGACATTGGTTTTGGTCCATCTTAGTTGTTGAATTGTGATCATTTATTTCAATAGCAGTTGCCTAATTACATAGTCCTATCTACAATGTTGGTTACCTAGAAGACGCCAGATCCCTTGAAAAATCGAAATGAAGTTTGTGTAACTTTTAACGTCCTTCTGTTTGAGAATTTTGAGAGCCCATTCCTTTAATATCCTTTTAATGCCTTGGTTGCATATACATTGTTTTCATATTCATGTTTCTTTTCCACATCCAGAGGTTGCATCTTTTTTTTTAACCTTGTTGTTTTTGTTGCTTTCAGGTTGTCCTGCTGGGTTTGGACATCTTATCTGCACTGGTGACACGGCTCCAAGATAGATTTAAAGCTCAAATTGGCACAGGTGAGGTAATCAGAGCCAAGGGATAGGCTGCTGTATTAAACAGGGTGTACTGGCCTTGGTAACTTTTCATAAAATTACATTTATTTGATGATGAAACTAAGATCATATGTGTGGGCTAGCTTGTTCTTAAATTGTTAATTAATTATTTACATGTACAGTGTAAATTGCTGAATTCTTAAGGATTCTAACACATAAAAAACAATATACAATCAAGTAAAAGTGTAAAATAAGTGTTCAGAAACAAATGAAAGCATGGAATAAAACTAAATTAATCAAGATCCCCTCTGAAAAAGCCCAGTTCCCAGAAAGCAGCCAGAGAGGCACCAAAAAGTAGCATTTTCACTTACGTTCCTTAAAACAGACTTTACTAATAGTTTCTTCCCAGGTAGTCTGAACTGGCCATGGTAATTCAAATGAGTGAATCTACTCATGCAGATAACTAGCAATTTTAAAAGTTAATACCAGCACTTTAAAATTGTACCAGGTGCCTATTATCAATCAATGCAGATTCCCACAACATTGGTATAATGTGTTCCCACTGGCAAACACTGGTCAGCATACAGACTGCTTCACCCTGAACTAACTCATATTTCGTGGTCAAAAAAATGTAAGACCCTGTCATATTTTCAGGGAAGCATGGTAACAATGTAAATGTGATCTAGTTGCCAAGTGCCTAAAATGCAGTCACGTAACTGCAGGTGTATGTATGGCAATTGTAACTTTGAGGATAGGTTTTAAGTAACTTTTGGGGGGTTCAAATGATTGTTAAGTGACTGGACATTAAGCAAAGATTACCTGTATGGGGTAATTACAGGCAGCAGCCATTAATACAGTGCATGGAAATAAATACGATTGGACATACTTGAAAAGCTTGCAGCATATGCAAACATCATGATAGGGCATTCTTTTTTACAACCTGTTGTCTGAAGCAAATATCTATTTCTTCCACACGAGCAGCTTACCAAAACACCACACAAGGCACTTGGGAAGGTGGACATATTTTAGTGTTGATCTAAAATGCCAACTCTGTTTTTTTAAATCCTCCTTTGTGATCCACCTTTCTTTTTGTCTCCAGTGTTACCTAGTTTAATTGACAGACTGGGAGATTCAAAAGACTCTGTACGAGAACAGGACCAGGCCCTGCTGTTAAAAATCATGGAGCAAGCTGCTAGTCCCCAGGTGAGTTCTTGGAAATGTACAATGATCAGGTACAAACTTATTGTACCTGCTCCAAGAAAACCATTCACAAGTGGGTTCAATTTGTATTGAAAATTTTTATTATGCCTAATAAACTCTATTGTTCAAATAAGATGGGTGCTATGTATCGATCAAAGGCATACAGGTTGAAGAAGTACTGCAGCAGCAAAATTGTCCTTAGTACTTAAACAGGTAGTATGGGGAAGTCAGCAGAACAGTACCAGGATTTATATCAGTGCAGAAAATATCCTTAATTGAGGTGACCAAAAGCCTTACAATCAGGAATCTTTTTATGATATGATAAAGCTAGAGCATACAGCTAACCTATGTATTTGATCAGAGTGTTTGTGCTCCTTTTGTAATCAAAGTAAACCACAGTTGAAGCATACTTTTGTAGTTACAGAACCAGGCACAGAGGAGTGGAGATAGGGAGATGCTGATCAGCCTTATCTTAGTGCTTGAACATAAAGCTTCTATTTATAATTTATGTTTGCATAGCAATATTTAAGAATATTCTCAACCATAACCCTTTATGTTCAAAAGTCTACTTTGTATTATATTAAACCAATCAATACCAGAAACAACATTAAATATATTTTGAGAACTGAGAAAAAATCCAGTAATTTAGCTGCTATAATTCCATAACTACAGGTAGTCCTCGACTTACAACCCAATTAGAGGCCAGAATTATGGTGGTAAGTTGTGCTAGTTGTTAAGTGGATCATCACTTGACCTGATTTTATTACCTTTTCTGTACTGGTCATTAAGTGAACACCTCCGTCATTAAGCAAACCAATCAAACATGATTTTTAAAATAGCAAGATGACTTTTTCATTTAGAACAGGTTATCTTTGCTTTTTGCTCATTAGTATTTATTAGTTCCTCAGGCTAAGTGCCTATTCTTTTAAATGGTCTAATAGATAAGGTTTTATATTTATATTATAAAATAAAAATGTGCTAATGAAATTCAGTCATTTGCGGCCAAAAAGCTGTACCATGATCTGGGAATATTCTGTATCTACAAAATAGGGGCTGTTAGGATGTACTTGAGGATTGTAACAATAGATTGGCTATCTGTGCTTTAAAACTTCTGAATAAAATTATACATAGATTATGAAGTGTCTTATTTATAAATAATGTAATGTTGTTTAGCATTCTTTCAGAGCAGTACTCTTATACAAGATATTTTAATTAGCTTGCTTTGATGTTCAAAATATAACTTTTTAGAGTCTTTATACATGGATATGATAAGAAGCCAGCCAAAATAATATAAAGAGGCCACATCAGCATATTCCCACCCAATAAAAATAAAGTTCTAAAATATTTTTCAATAGTTAATTTAGTTCCACTTGCCTACACTGCCTTCATTAATTTATGCATCCACACATGCACATTATGTGTCCAACCCCATCACACTTGTGACAATAGGATATTCAGGATCAAGCAGATGCAACTGATCTTGATTTAGGGTGTTTTCCTGCCCCTTACTTTTTTATATCTATGTGACAGTACGTATGGGACAGAATTTTGGGAGGATTCAAACACAAGAATTTCCGGACAAGAGAAGGAATTTGCCTCTGCCTTATTGCAACTCTTAATGCGTAAGTTGGACTATTATGCCTAATTTATACCTACATTCAATTGCTTTGAAAAATACTTCGCTGATATGTTGGTTGCTTGCTTTTTCTCTCCTTCCTCTGTTTTAGATCTGGAGCTCAGAGTTTAACCTTGAGCAAGATTGTGCCCCATATATGTAACTTACTTGGTGATCCAAACAGCCAGGTGAGTCTTTAATGCTCTACATTTGCCTTCCTGGAGAAGAATAACTGTTCTAGAGGCTTTATTTGTATTTTATTTTACTTTAATTTCAAAGCTTTAGCACATCAACATTTCATGTCACCAGGAAAGTTTTAACTTCTTTTATTGATTGCAGATACCTATGCATTTTAAAATATATATCATCATCTTTAAGCAGTAACTCCTTAAAGAATCTCTTTTTTTCAGGGATTCACATGACTATTACTCCACAATCCCAGGAAAATGCAGTTAATTTAAAATAGGTTGATAGATGTTATGCAAAATCATAACATCTGTCATTTTGTCAAATCTGTCAAATCATAACCTTTTTTTTTTCTTGTTGAATCTAGATTGATGCTTTGATCTCATGATTAAGATTAAGTCTTGCTTCTTCGTTCTCAATTTCAACCGTATCTTGTAAAATGAATTCTATCCATATTTATTGGTCCATGTTAGCCTTGACCAAGCAGTTTGGAGGCCTTGATAAAGGAGAATTCATGATTGTGCAGAGAAGCATCCCATATTTGAATCACAGCACAGACTTATTTCATTGATCGAATATATTTCTATTCCACTTATATTGTTCGAATTTTTCAAAAATTTCCACAAATTTACTTTGTTGTTCCAACTGACGGGTAGTCTGGCAGGGTCTGTATACTTGTCTTTAAGATTGCTTTTCTTCCATTCAACCGTACAATACTCTGACTGCATGACAAATTTCTGCAGTTTTCTTGGCAAGGTTTTTCAGAAGTGGTGTTTGCCCTCCGCTCCTTCCTAGGACTGAAAGAAAGTGACTGGCTCAAGATCCCCCAGCTGTCTTTGTGGCCAAGGTGGCACTAGAACTCATGATCTCCCAGTTTCTACCGTGATGCCTTAACCACTATACCATACAGGCTGTCCATGATAAGTTATCCAATATTTGCAAAATAGAGAGCCAATATAGAGTTCTGAATGATTATATTCAAATGTCTTTTGTGCAATTTTGTTAACAAAAGCAGGAAATATTTGAATTATAATACTGTTTACTATGTAGTGTGTTCTGTAATTGTCTAGAGCAACGGTTCTCAACCTGTGGGTCGGGACCCCTTTGGGGGGGTCGAACGACCCTTTCACAGGGGTCACCTAAGACCATCAGAAAACACATATTTTTGATGGTCTTAGGGACCGAGACACCAATTTGATGGTTGGGGGTCACCACAATATGAACTGTATTAAAGGGTCGCGGCATTGGGAAGGTTGAGAACCACTGGTCTAGAGTGCAGACATTCATTGTTAATCTGCATGCATTTTGTATGGAGAAAATTATGTAGAGCATTGAAACTCTGTTCTCTCATCCACTTAAAGACCTGCTGAAACTCAACACTTGCCTTCTGCTTTGAATTTGTGCCATGTATATAGCTGGTTTTTTGAAGAATTGTTTTGACTGTAGAAGACAAAGCTATATACAGATAGTCTTGAAGATATGACTGAAATGGTTCATTATGGTTGTATGTCCCCAATGGTTGTTAGGTGAAGCTCTTCCTGCTCTCGCAAGAATTATTAAATGTCCGGGTCATTAAGTGGACCATGGGGTGCCTCAGGTGGGGTAGGCCCTTAGAGACCTAGCATAGGCCCAGGGTTGCCTGCCCTGGGCCTCCCAAGGCCTCCCTAACCCTCAAAGACCCTGTAATCCATTTTCCATCTCTTGGGTCCCCAAAGGCTTTCCCCACTGGGTCTTTCAGCCTTAGGCCTGATTCCCACTCCATCAGGCCAAGCACCCTCCTCCTCACTTAACTTTTGAAGGACTCTGAGGCCTTCCAGAGCACTGGAATGGATTGTTCCTTTCTACAAAATACAGTTCTGGAAGCAGCTGCCATTTTGTCCTACCCACAAAGTAGTTAGCTTTGCAGTGCTATATATGCCTCATAAAGGCAGCAAAATGAAGCAGTTTGTCTGGCAGCCACCATTTTGTCCCAGGGGCACATTGCCTGCCCTCCTTCCTTACAGTGAGGTCTGAAGAACTTCAAAATATCAGTGAGATTGGTGATGGGCATATGGGGTCTCAGAGAATGGGATGGAGTGAGCCTTTTTGTGGTGGGTTGTAAGGGTGAATGATCTCAAGGAGCCATTTGTAATTTTCAGGGTCATTTATAATTTTGGAGTGTCTGCTGTAACTTTGAATGTTGGTTAAGTCATCTATCATATCTCAATACCTACCGTATTTTTCTGAGTATAGGAAGCACCTTTTTTCCTGAAAAAAGAGGCTGAAAATCTGGGTGTGTCTTATACACTGAATACAGCTTTTTTTTGCCTCCCGAAGCTCCACCCCCTTCACCAAAATGGCCATGCATACCCTTATGGAAGCTTTCAGAGAGCTCCTGGGGGCTGGGGAGGGCAGAAGTTAGCAATAAATGGGCCTTTTTTGACTTCCTGGGAGGAGCCTACTGGTGGGGGCAGCAAAAAATCAGCTGCCTCTGAATTCCTGGCTATGTACCTGTTTAGAGGATCTTCCATCTGACGTCTTATCAGGTTTTCTTATCCTTCAGACAAGAAGGAAAGAAGAAACTGTTTTGCTGTCTATCCTGTCCTTCTTGTGGTCTTTCTCTAGGTC